GTGCACATGCATGTGCCGCTGTGTGCACCTCTGCATGTGTGTGCATGCCTGTGTGCACGTGTGAGTGTGCATATATGTGCACATGCATGTGCCGCTGTGTGCACCTCTGCATGTGTGTGCATGCCTGTGTGCATGTGCGTGCCTCTGCATGTGCATGTGCGTGTGTGCGTGCGTGCCTCTGTGTGCCTACTTTGTCTTCATCTGCACCCCCCTTGCCTGTTTTGGGGAGCAGCCGGAAGCAGCCTCAGCGGGGCCATTGCTCAGCTCAGCCTCTTCCCCGGGAGATTCCCCAGCTGTGATTCACCCAGCGGCACCCCTGCCCGCAGAGCCCGCAGCAGGTGGTGCGCCCAGGCCTGCCCCCCACTCCCCTGCCCGGGCTTGTCCCACCCCTGGAGGAGCTGCCTGGCCCTGGAGGAGCCGAACTGGCTCCCTCTGCCTGGCCTCTCCGAGTTTTCCTCGTGTCCCCATCGCCCTGGTGGCGGCACCTCTGCCCCGTCGCCTGTCCCTGTGGACGCTCGGGCACTGAGCGGCTCTGTCTCGCTGGCCAGCTGTGTGAGCACTGGGCTGTGGGCAGCGTGGGCTGGGACGGAACACCTGGCATCGTGTAGGCGCAGAGGATTCTAGTCCCGGGGACGCCACCGCCGAGCTGGGGGACCCCCAGTCCCTGGTGAGGGGCCAGGCACGGTGCTCAGCCCTCTGTCCCCGAGAGGCTGGCTGTAGGGCCGAGGGAATGTCAGAGCGCCAGGCAGGGGTCACGCAGGGCCGAGGTTCCCTGTGGCTCTGCGCGGACGGGCCCCTTGCGTCTTGCTGACCTGGCGGAGAGGTGGAGGCCACAGCTTTCCTCTGACGCAGACTTCCCCTCTTGCCCCCACTCCCCACCCCCCCGCCCCCAAAAACCTGCGTGAGCGAGCAGACTCACCGGAGCCCTTTCTGAAGAGTTGGGTACCCCAGCGGGCGGAGCCCTGAGCTGGTTCTAGGTTCCCTCCCGTGCACCCCATTCCTAGGGAGGCTACTCCCAAGCCGGCGAAGGCGTCACGGGGCCACACTCCCCTCGCCAGTGGGGGCTGAGGGCAACCGCACGCCCGGGCTGGCCAGTGACCACAGGAGGAATGTGCTGGGCCCTCGGGGGCCTCTGCTCTCTCTCTCTTTTTTTAAAATATATTTTTATTGGTTTCAGAGAGGAAGGGAGAGGGAGAGAGTCAGAAACATCAATGATGAGAGATTGATGTTAGAGAGGAATCATTAATCGGCTGCCTCCTGCACGCCCCCCCCCCCCCCCGGGGGAGGGAGCCTGCAACCCAGGCCTGTGCCCTGCCCAGGAATCGAGCCATGACCTCCTGGTTCCCAGGTCGACACTCAGCCCCTGAGCCCCGCCGGCCGGGCGGGTCATGTTTTCTTACTCTCGTTGGGTGGGTTGTGGGGATGCTGTTGAGCATTTGTGAGCGTCCCGGCCTCCTGGCTTCCCCCTCACGAGCTGAGCGTGACTTTGGGGATGGGGATGTCCCAGGTCCGAGAAGGACTTGGGCTGAGCTTGAGCGGCCGGCTCGCTGGGTGCGGCCGAGGGCTCCATCTCTGCCCTGAGCCTTGGAGCTGGCCCGCCTCCCTGCCTTGTGGAGGGATCACGTCTTCATCCCCGTGTGGCTGGGGCAGCCGAGTGAGGCACAGGCCACGGGCCTCATTCTCCCCCTCCCCCTGCTCTCCTTCTGCCAAGCTCGGGGTAGGGGGTAGGGGGGCTGTCTGCCTTGGAGAGGCTCTGGCGAGATGGCGAGATGACAAGATGGGGAGATGGCGAGATGGCGAAGTAGGGAGATGGCGAGATGGCGAGATGTGGGAAGGGCCGGCCTGTGGCTGGGCCGTCTCAGGAGATCAGATCGCGTCTGCAGCCGGGAGCCTTGGGGTGCTTTGATGTGGGGGCGCGGGAATCAGCCCGGGGACACAGCGCAGGGTTTGACTGGTAAGAGCAGGGGTGTTTCCTGCCTGCAGGTCAAGGCGGGCGTGGCTTTGCGCTTCCCGCCGTATCTGCGTTTCATCTCCCCGAGTCCCCCGTGGAGCGTCTGTCTAGACGGCTGTGGAATCAGACGCTCACTGACTGTGCGGGCATTTGGCCAGCAAACGTATGGCCGCCGAGCAGCCAGGCCGGAGGGGAGGGGGGTGCAGAATGGGCTGCACTCAGGTCTGGAGCAGATGGGAGCCTGATGCCGTGGGGCCAGCCGGTCCCCAAAACTGGCCTCAGGCGCCTTGAGGTCCTGGAGAGCCGTGCTCCCGCCACCTCTCGGCCAGTCACTCCGTGCAGCTTCCTGCCTGCGGTGAGAGCAGGAGAGTGGTCTCAGCTGGGAAGCCGCTCCTGCGAGCCTCAGTTTTCACATCTGTAAAATGGGGGGAAACAGGCTCTCAGGCCCCAGGTGGTCATGGAAGTGCTTTGTCATCTGAGTTCAGGCTTCATGTCAGACCCACCCCCTGTTGTGTATCTATTTGCTTTTTCTGATGTTGATCCTTCATAGTCTGTGAAATGTGTGTGTGAGCAAAGCTTGCACAGGTGGGGATCAGCGCTTCCCACAGGCCTGGCTGTGCCCGTGTGCCCTCAGTCCTGCTCATGGGCCTGGCTGTGCCCTCAGTGCTGCTCATGGGCCTGGCTGTGCCCTCGTGCCCTCAGTGCTGCCCACAGGCCTGGCTGTGCCCGTGTGCCCTCAGTCCTGCTCATGGGCCCGGCTGTGCCCTGTGCCCTGTGTGTCCCCCTCTGTTCAGGGAGGACGGGTCTTGGGGATCTGTGGGTTGGATGGCAGATGTCCCCTGTCCAAGCCGTGTGGTCGCCCGCGTGTGGATGACCTCACTGCACGGCACACTCTTGTCCTTGGCGAGTCCCCTGAGCAGCACGCAGGCCCCCTGGGTCCCCCTCTGTGCCCTCACTGCGTCTGCACCCCCTCTCCCTCCGGTGTCTGCCTCCTTCCCCGTCCCTGGGCCTGAGCTCAGACTGAGCAGAGCTATCTGCAGGCCCCTCTGCCTCCTACACACCCCGAGACCCGGGAGCACGGGTGGGGGGTTGGGAGGGGGTGGCACGTCACCTTCCGATGGGACCCAGCCTATGGCTGAGCGGAGGTGGCCCAGCCCACCTTTCTGTACCTCAGCCTGATCGCGTGCACTGATCGCGTGCACTGAGTTGGTGAGAAGCAACTGTTATCGTGGGCGGCCGGGCCGGCCCAGCCTCCCCCCTGCTCACCCCTCAGGCCCAGCCCGAGGCTGTCCCAGGCCCCGAAGGAACAGGAGG